CTGCTGAGAACAGCCCAACTCCACGTTCATGTGCTGTTGGGTGCCCAGAGATGCCTGCTGCATGCCTTGGGCGGTAGGGTTGGAAGAGCCACTTGCAGCTGAGCTGAGAAACCCAGGTTAAAGTCCCCCAAAGGGCTCCAGCCGCCACAGCAGCTCTTTTGGGAACCATTAGAGGCAGGAGAATTAAAGGGAACTTGGCTCCTAGGGTCAGCCGTCACCCTAGGGTTAAGTGGGAAAGGCTATCGCGAGATTGGGACTTGCCTCATAGCTTGGGGACGTGGGCCCAGGTGGCAGGGGTGCACTGTCTACCACCCGGGCACATCTCACTTGGGCTGAAATGCTCCATCTCTTGCTCCCCGCAGGAATACCCACTGTCGGCCCTCGCGGGGACCTCCTGCCACTGCGGCTTCCCCACCACGCTTTTCACCCTGCACGATCGTGAGGATGAGCAGCTGTGCGCACAAAAATGCACCGGCGAGGATTTTGAGAGCTGCGGGACCGCTGAGTACTTCATCGTCTACCAGACACAAGTGCAAGGTACCTGGCGTCCCGCCTGCCGCCCTCTCGCTCCCGGGGCTCTTGGGGCTGGTTTGCTCTGGGAGGTTCCCAGGATGCGACGGCCGCGGGGATGGGTTTGGACCCTCCTTGTGCAGAATGAGCCATGCCTGGTACAACCTCACACCTGCATGGGGTGGGCACGAGCCCTCTCAATTAGACCTCTCATGCGGCAAATCGTCCTGTAAGGTTATTTCTTACCTCTTGTGAGCTACCCAGCCTGCTTGCTGCACGCCCGTCGTGGAGGCCATTCCCCCCCAGCACCTCCGCCGGGAAGTCTTTCCCTTGATGAAATCTTGAGTTGTGATCCCAGCTCCATTGCAAGTGCTCTGGGGTCTTCGCTGAGCAGCACGGCGAGACCTCGTTCCTCTTCCCCGGTGCACTTTCTGTGCAGACCTGCCCTCCCGGCCCAGCTGTCGGCGGGGAAGGACACAACACCTCATACCCCTGGCTGCACATTCAGCTTTGCTGTCTGTGTTTAAATTCACCTCGGCACGCGTGACGACCCGAACCTCAGTTTGTCCCGGATAAAATAACATCGGTTTCCAACCATCCATTCGGCTTTCATTAAAAATTACCATTTATTTTAATTTCCCAGGAAATAAATCCTCCTCTGAACAAACAGCTGTAATTACTGCTTACATCAGGCACAGGAAATAACACTTTGCCATCTGCCTTCAGCAGATTTCTTTCTTTCTCTCTTTCTTTCTCTCTTTCTTCCTTCTTTTTCTTTCTTGTCACCATCAAGTTGCAGGCCAGAGCCACTGCTCGTGGAGGGAAAGCGGTGTCCCTGGTCTACCCTCACACAGCTTTTTCACCCGCTCTTCCCCGCTGGCCTGTCGGAAGGGCACCGCCGTCTGTCCAGATGTACTCAGACGCATGAAAGCAAGGATATAACCAAGCCCATCTCTCTGCAGGAGCATGCTGTGTCCCAAAATATTAGGCTCCTCACTCCCTTCCTATGTAGCACTCCTTCCCACCCCCCCCTGCTTTGGATACCCATCCCTTTACATCCTACCCACCCCTTTGGAGCGCCTGTAGCTTTGGCCTGTGCCCATGCTTTTCATTTGTCACTGGCAAAACACCATGGAAAGCTATAAAGTTCTGCTTCTTTCAGCTCGGGGTGACTGTATTTTTCTCCTCCTGGGGGGTGCGTAGCTAGTAAGAAAAGCTGGGGACCGGCAGTTAGCTGCCACCTAAGTGCAGCTGCTGGCTCGCCGTACAAGCCATCCAAATGCTTCGTGCCCCTTGGCCTCACCGGGTGTTGTCAGGGGGCAGTAACCAATACATGGTGGTGAAATCACTGGAAAAGGGCGAAATGTTGGTACCCTCTCCAAAAGTGGGCTGAGCTAGGAAGCGTAGGGCCGCCCAACGGCATGCTTGAACACATCGATGCTTGAGAATCTGTTTCAAAGAGGAGGTAGGATTGAAACCATCATAGAAAGAGGTCTCTTCGAGCTACCAACTATCTCTGCTGGCTGATCCTATCCCGATGGTGGATTCAGGCATGAAGTTGCTTGCTGGAAAACAGCAAGAGTGCAGCGCTCTTCCGACAAGGGGGTGGCAATGTGTCCAGACGGGGGTTTCTTGCAAACTCAGGGACAGTAGCACAGCTGAAAGGAGATGCCTGCGATCATTATCTGGGACTGGAAGACTGTGGTCAAAGGTTAAGAAAGGAAAAGGCCAGGACAGGAAGTTAAAAGGAAATGTGAAACTCCCAGACTCCTCCAAGGGGACTCTTATCCTGACCTCCTTTCCAGCCACCTCCATGGGCACGTCTACACTGCGCATTAGCTTAATCACACCGCGCAGCAGTTAAAAACTGTGCTAATAACCTACTGCATAGTGTTATTAGGCTAATGCACAAGTAAGCATCACTAAATAACCATGTGCCGGTGCTACTGTGCAGTAGCTCTAGATGCTGTGCATTTAGTTAGTACTTTATTAAGCAAGCACTAAATTAAGTGCACAGTATCCAAGGTCCATTAATGAACGTGTAGACGAGCCCAGTCAGGATTGTTCCAAGAACGAGCTGAGTGAGCCAAAAGGAAGTCTCAAATGCCGCTTCAAAGCCCTGCCTTTTTATCACTTTCATGACGGCCCAAAGGAAAGTCTGAATTTCCAGGGCATTACTACCTGCTGTCTCTTTGCAGTAACATGGTTACTTTTTGCCCCCAGCCCCACTGTCTTCAACAAAAGCTCCTAGAGGGAGATCTCAAGCAGGTTTAAATGATGCTAGAAAACAAAATAGAGTGAAGATGCCTGCGTTAACCTTTTGCACGTCTCTATCCAAGCAGCTCAATGTACTTTGCCAGCATGAATTGTTTACTACACTTCACAGTTCGCACCGTGGTGGATACAGCATGCGCTCCTCGTCCCATTGTCCACTAATCTGCAAGACTCTCATAGCGCTGCCATTAACGTTCTTGCAAGGAAGCGCATTTGCATATTGACGGGAGAGAGAGGCCAGACAACCCACATTAATTGGCTTCAGCATTCAAACCTTGTCATTTCATAGTATTTTATTTTAAGCTAGTCTGTTCTGCTCTTCTCTGAGGCTGTGCTAAACATGCATGGTTTTGTTTTTTTTATTGCAATAATCAGGACAGGAGAGAAGAGTAAGTGTAGGTACCCACCCTACCTAGGAACCGCATAAGTGCGATTCTGCAAATAATACATATGCCGCGTTTTCTGAGGCTGGAAAGTGACAAGTCAATTAGAGATTTGCATTCGGCACGAGCTGGGAAGTGGGAATCCCCCACTTCAGCGACTGAAAGCCCAACAGGTGGGAAGACAGAATCTCATCACAGCCATCACTTCAAAGTCTACTCCATCGTCCGTCTGAATGAAGCAGCGGCACCCTGGAGACGGTTCGTGCAGCACATCAATGCTGCCTTTTGCAATCTAGTTATTGGAAGAAGTGCTCATTTGGTTATTGGAGTAGCCGTGGATAGTCTGGGAACACCCAAGCAGTAGGCCTGTGTGAATAGGCAACTATTCGATTCAGATTCGGCGATTTGAATCGCTTTTCCGAATCGATTCGGAAAAGATTTGGAGCCGATTCAGAGAGATTCGGCCATAGGGTATAATGGAGAATCAGTGAAATATCTGTAACTTTGTTGTCCTCATCCCCTACAGCCTTGGCCCAGTCCACCACTGTAAAGGACGGCAGGTCAAAATAACTGAATAACTCCTCCGAATCATCTCCGAATCCAAATCGCGTTCTGAAGCTTTGCATAGCCCTACCAAGCAGTTTGAATGGTAAAGACCACACAAAATCCATGTCTAATCCAACAGCACTAAGCATCTCATATCTAGCCATGCCACCTTGTGCTGTGAACTCACAGCTAAGCACAGCTGGATCCGGTCAGATGGAAAGCCACACACACAAACCTACTGCTGCATTCATTTCCTGAGTGTGCTGTAATCCTTTCAGCAGTCTGAGTCGCCCTTCATTTTTCATCTGCTCCTAAAAAGCCTGAACTGAACCGGTGCAGTCGTATCCAGTTACAGCATCGTGGTAAGAGGACACAGGCAGCTCTTTTCCCCGCTTTGCCAGCATATTTCAGTCTTTCTCCAGTCTTGAAACAGGGCTTGGAACAAGACTTTTCCATACTACAGCCATCTCAGTCTCCATTACCGCAGCATCTTCCCCAGGAGACGGCACGAAACCTCGAGGAACTGACCCGGTTTCTTTCTAGTAAACCTAACCAACTCTTGGCTTGCCTCTTTATCATCGAGGAAAAATGAAGATAGAAGGAGAATAAAAGGGAAGTCTCCGCGCCATGGTAGACGGTGATATAATCTCCTGGGTTGCTCCCTGTCTGTTGGAATACAGCATCCACCTCCTTCTTTGAGGACAGCCAAACTGGACCTGCATGCTCAATTCAGATGGCTCTCCCAGGCAAGCAGCCCCGTGGACTCCCTGTTGCAGTGTGGGAATGAGACGCGGGAGCCTTTCATCGCTGAAGGATGATATATGGTGGGAATCTATTGTTTCTGCCAAGTGTACTGCTTTAGCTCAGCCAGCCTGTCTTCAACGCTGCAAAACGAAATCCCCCAAGAGAACAACCAAGGAAAAGGGCCAGATCGCCAGAGTCAAAATGAACACGGTTGTTGTCAGACGCTGCTGTGCAAATGCACGTGCGAACTGCATGTGCCCAGGCAGATGAACACACACATAGGAAGAGTACACTCAGATTAGGTATACAGCCCCTGTTTCTCTTGGACTGTCACGTATCCGCACAGATCCCCTTCACTGTAAGGTCGTGCAGTGCCGGGCACCCAGCAGGGACAAGGCATGTGTCTGGCTTCGATGCAGAGATTTCTGTGCCAAGGACGAGCCCCGACTCAGCGCCGTTGGGGAGCGGGGCTGGAGTCCGAGCGTCTTGATGCCGGCTGATGTTTGTAGCAGGGCTTTGAAGTCTGCATGCGAGATCCTCCGGGAAACCATCGTTTCCTTTTATATTTGTACAGTGAAACCAATCCAAAGCAGCCAGAGGATAGTTCTGCAATCCCAGCAGGGTTTAGGAGCAGAGACATAGGGAATAGGACAGGAGGAAGAGACGAGGCCATCATGGCTAGACCCCTGCTGTCATAGGCAACCATGTCATCCTGCCCCATTCATAAGGAACAAGATACCCAGCCCCACTCCCTCCTAGAGCTACCGGGTTTGCAAATCCTGCCATGAAAGGGGTTTGAAGGACTCCATTGCTCTCAGACCCCACGGTGGATGTTTTGGATCAAATGCACTGAATGAGCATGTTTTAATATCTCTTTCTGCACCATCTCAGGGTCAGAAAGCCCTGTTACCTCTTCTCACCTTAGAGATCTTATGCACGGCCCCCTGATGCATCTTCTATTTTTAACCTTTTTCAGACAACCGCTGTATGGATAGAAGGTTTTTACCCACTCGATCCAAACAATTCATAGCCTTGGCAAGCTTCCCTGGAGCAGGCAATACTTGGGCACGCCATCTCATCGAGCTGGCGACCGGCTTCTACACTGGGAGCTATTACTTCGATGGATCTCTCTACAACAAAGGTGAGAAGGGATAAGTCACGGACAGGATCTTTGTCACTTCTGCTTATGGCGGCCTCTCCAGAGATGGCCACTTTCAAGGGCTGCAGAAAAAAAGGAGGGGAGGCGATTGAAATTTAGAAATAGCCCACTATGACAAGGGAAGGGAAAATACAGTAAAGAGCAAAAGAGCAAAGGGGGTGGATGGGCCAAGTTCTCTTCCCGCTGATGGGGGTGTAGGTTGTAGCCATGCTGGTCTAAGGACACGGGCAGACAAGGCTCTTTGGGTAAATGGGATATCTTCTATTAGACCAACCAAATAGTTGGAAAAATTGTTCTTTGCAAGCGTTCGGGCACAAACACCCAATGATGAAAACCCACAGGGTGAGAGGTTAACTCAGTGCAGTTGCTCTAGAGCAAGAGGAGGAGGACGTTCCCGCGGGGCAGCCGGGCCGGATGAATTGGGCATGGGAGCAACCCTAGCTTGTTGCCTGCTTTGAGTGCAAGGACCAAGTTCTGGCATCTTGCTGCAACTCCAGAGGCGCGATTTGGACACTCGTGCCAGGGTCATCGTCTCAGTCAACCGGCTGAGAACGGGCCACTCCGGGGATGCCGGCCACATCTCTCTGGGGTGCCACTGGCTCTAAAAACCATTGTGGCTTGACCCGCTAGGCTCCAGTGGGTGTTTGACCTTTAATGTGCCGGGTACTGCTGTTATGCCAGCGTGCCAGGGGATGTATACCATGTTGGGCATGAGCTATTTTCTCCCGGGAAGAAGGGAAACGCAGAGGGCAGATGGCGAGTCATTCACACTGCCTCTTGCTTAGGCAGACTCATTTCTTAGCACATCCTCTTCTGCATGGGAAGTTTACGGGAAAACTGATGTTATGCCCGTCATTTCTGGAAAGTTTATGGGAAAACTGCCTTATGCCTGTTGTTTCTGGCCCATGCAAGACATTCCTACCAGAGATTGGGGTGCAAATTGCTCAATATTTATCACTTTTTAACAATTTCTGCATCCTTCCCAAGATTTCCATGCGCATCTATATTTCAGATGAGTTTTTTAAGCCTTGCTCAGAGCCATTGGATTTTGGTTGCGGTCAAACCTGGGGATTCTTCTGCTGGGTCTTAATGATGGAGATTCCTGGCAAGAGGGTCTGTTTGGGTGAATCTGACATCTTTTATTAGACCAACTTAAATTCCCTTAACTGGATATTTTGCCCCCTTGTTGCGTCCAGTCTTATCATGCTGTTGAGGATATCTGTCGTTTAACGTGTCCCTGCTCGCGTGTCAATTAGGGTTGGTTACCCTTTAAATTCTCATCTCATTAGAGGCCTTCTGTTTTAATAACTTTTGGAGGTGAGTAAGCCAGTGCAGTTAAAAATATCCATCCTCCGAGAGGAGACCAGACACCTTCAGTAACCAGACCCAGCCTCACAAAGAAAGCACCATTGCATCAATCAGTCAGAGATAATCTCCCAGGCACTGAGCTAAACTGCGGAGAGTTAGCTTAATGATACAGCAAAGCCAAGCCGCACGCGGGCTGCCCATGCCTAGAAAGCACCGTCATCCTGCATTAGCTGTCAGATACAGGGAATGCAAAGGGTTGACTTGCATGGATTTGACAGCGAGGCTCCAGGAGGCACAAACTGAGAACCCAAAATAGCACAGATGCCTAGTGACAAAATAAGAGAGAGCGTGCCCAACAAAACCGCCGTCCGGCTAGCCCTGCAGGAAATAAACAGGAGCTAGGCCGTCCCTCTGTTGCTGTGCTTTCGAGCCTCTTGAAAAAATATCAGGAGCATTGCACTGCTGATCATCTTCCCAGCCCAAAACAGCTGTATGCATTTGGCACACTTCGGGGTGCCTAGCCTGGCACAGGGAAAAGGATCCTCGTTTTAAGATGTTTCGGATGCTTAGCAGAATCTGAGGACACGCTTGAAGCCGATTGTTTTAAGGGAGTGAAGGCAATGAGCTGCTAAAATGCAGCTAAAAAAACCCACCACCCGTGACTCGGGCTCCCAGGTGCTGTGGCGATACAGAGGGTTTGCATTCAAGAGAGGACTGATGATGGATGAATGGCAGATGGAAAAGGGGGCATATCGAATTTTATTTGAACTTGGCTAGCTCCGTTCACTCTAGTCTTGCAAATGCACAAAAAGGGAAAGGAATCAGAGGACAAGTTATCTATCTACCCATTTATTATTATTATTATTATTATTATTTTATTATTCAGATGGGGGGACAGTTATAGTCAAGACTGAGATTTGAGCAAGGACGCAGATCTATTTGCTTTTTTTATTCCAGCCAGCTCACTCTTCTACCGCCACAGAACTGGCCTGTCTAGCAGAATACATGCTCCTCCAAATAAGAATATATCTGCTTTCTAAATGCAGCAAATCCTCTTGGCCTTGTGCTCTAAGAGGCCAATCTCTCTCTTACAAATTAGACTTTTTCAGAGCAAGTGTTGTTGCTTAGGGCAGGCACGGTGGCTTAGCAGAATAATACCGGCAGACTGTCAGCTCCCGAGGAGCCGTGTTAAGTCCGCTCGCTGCCGCTGCTCGATTCGCCGAGCATGTTTCTCCTTGGGCTGAATGATTTCAGTGGATATCCATCTTTTGTTCCTCTGTGACATGGAGAAATTATTTACAGAGTAAATATTTTCCTCTTTCCCCCCTTCCTTGCCCTGTGAGGTCCCCAGAGGACCAGCAGCCATGTTCCCCCAGTGATGGAAATGCCGACAATACGACTTGGCTGGAATGACAAAGAGCCACAGCCGGGCTCAGCGCAGGGATGGGCGGAGGGGGAGAAGTGGCATCTTCGGAGGCGAGCTGGGACCATGGGGAGCTGTCCTCACAGAAGAGGAGTTTCCAGATGCGCTGGTATTACCCGGTGAAGATCATTGCGGTAGGACATAAGGAGGACTTCGCGGTTTACTTGACTAGCAGTGGCCTCCAGGATTAAATACTGCAGTATGTCTTAACAAAAGACTTTTGAAAAGAGAAAGAAACAGTCATAAAGCCAGCTCTAATACAGGGGAGGAACTTCACTGTGATAAGTTAATTCATCAATGCCTAACTCAGGTCTTGCTGCGCATATCATGCGATCATCGAAAATTCAGGGTCACGTCTAGTCCAACCCCCTGCTCAAAACAGGACCAGCCCCAACTCCATCATCCCAGCCATAGTTTTGTCTTGCCAGCCCTTAAAAACCTCCAAGGATGGAGATCCCACCACCTCTCTGGGTAACTTGTGTAGTGTTTTACTACCCTCCTGGTGAGAAACTTCTTCCTAATGTCTAACTTAAACGTCCCTTGCTGCAACCTGAGCCCATTGCTCCTTGTCCTGTCGTCTGCCCCCACTGAGACCAGCCCAGCTCCATCCTCTTTGCAGCCCCCCTGCAGGGAGGGGAAGGTTGCTATTAAGTCTCTCCTCTCAGTCCCCTCTTCTCTAGATTAAATAAGCCCCATCCCTCAGCCCCTCCTTATCAGTCATGTCCCCCAGCCCCCCAGCTATTTTTGTTGCCGTCTGCTGCACTCTCTCCAATGTGGCTGTGGCGGGTGCAGAGATCCCACCTCAGGAACACAGCTGGGTATTCGTATCCCTCCGCTGTT